CCTCGTGCCCGCACGCTTTCTCTCACACTTGTTACACTTTGATGATCCCCACTGGCTACACGTGATGACTGGTGAAGAGGCAGGAACCGTGGGGTTAGATATGGAAGATGAGCTGGTGAAGAATAATATGTGGCGTTAGCCACAGAGATCACATGGTGAACCGTCGGTCTATCCACACCCACTCATGTTGCTTCCTCCACCCCGCTCTCTCCTATGCACTCTCCCTCCCCTTACAGCGCGTGGTCGTCCATGGGACACACAAAGTAGAGAGCATTTGGCGAGTAAGGTCAAAACTTTGACGATAGGCATGAGGGACACAGACTCAATGTGATAAGCATTGAGCGGAGGGGTGGAATCTGCGGCGCTTAAGTGGGATATGATGAGGGTTGACTGAAGCATGCCACGACGGAATAAAGGAGCGGATAGGAAGGGGAAGACTGAATTTTCGGCAGAACGGCGACTATGGGTGGTGGAAGTGACGAGCAGGTTTAGCTCTACTGGGATTTACTGATGGGTTAGGCAAGTAACGGTAAGGTTCCCATGATTTATTCTAACGTTTCTTCTTCCTCTTCCCGCCCATGGTTCACCGTTTATCACGACAGCAGCCGAACACATCAATTCCTTCTCAATTAGCTCTTTCGATGAGCGAAACTCTCTTTCGTTTGAGTGATAGGAAACAAAGCAAGACACGGTCTTTACGTTCACCCGTCGTAGTAGCAGCGAGGGAGAACTGGGAAGATAATTAGAACATGCTGGCGCACTTCCAATAAATTTTATTTATTTGATTATTTTTTCCCTTTTTTTATTTCTAAATTATAACTCATATTTCGATTGTAGAAAACGAGGCTGGGGACCTCACAATTCAACCCGGAGTTATCCCGGCAGCATCAGCCGGTTTAGCTTTAGTCAATCAACCTCARATCTTTTCTTTTTAAAGCACAGACATCCTACGCCTACCTCTAACACTATACTATTCATCCTATTTCTTACTCACCTTAGTCTTTTCAACAGACTATTCGTAAAGGAACCTTGTGGTTCTTAACCGACTAGCTAACATATTCTACAGCAAAGCCCAAATGCTCTTAGATTAAAAACTAGCTCCACTTACCTTTCGAACGATCAACAGTCTATACTTGACTTACTAAGATAATTCCTTACTAAGCAAGTTTGTCTTAACTTCCAGTAAAATTTACCCGAACATCCTTCCTTCCACGTCCCTAACCACAATAACGACACTTCAAGGATCACGAAACTGAGATATGAACGGATCAACGGACATAACGCGGACCTGATAGGAAAGGAACGTAGGGCACTGGAGCAGGACATCGCCACTATGCTGGACATGCTGATTAAACGTGGGGGCGAGGATGAGAATGATCTATCAGCAGAAGCCATCAATATCAGAATATGGACAGCCAACACGTTCCCAGACATCTGCAACAGGCATCAGACAGTCACACAGCAGATGGATAGACCGAGGGATGCGCTTGAATAGGAAACAGGGAACACCCAGAGATAGATAAGCAGAGGAGAGTGGAATACTGATCACAGCTAATTGGGCTCTGCGTGAGGAGATCAACAGGTTAAAAAAGGATAACTACCGGGTCAGCCGTACACTTTGGCACCCAGTGAGTAACGGACGAGTAGAACTACTGACACGATTGCAGCAATATATTATGGCCTGATACTCTACACCTCTACATTGGATTAACAACTGAGGTCAAATCTTTGGGTGGAAAAGCACGTAGCCATGATGGAGAACATCTGGCAGACGAGTTCCACCTCTACAAGGGACAGGAAGTAAATATATGTCTTGTATTGTGGGAAATTCCCTTTGCATGGATTTTGCATTGAATGCCAATAGCGAAGGGAGAATCTATGGGCAGGAGAACCTGACAAAGTACCACT